CTCTCCTCTCCTCTCCTCTCCTCCCCTCCCCTCCCCTCTCCTCCCTTCCCCTCCCCTCCTCTTCTCTTTTTTTCTTTTTTTCCAGTGCTAGGGATGGTACCAGGGACTCTCCATACCAGGCAAGGGCTCTATCACTGAGCTGCACACGCAGTCTTATCTTCTTTACCTCTCTTGTATGACTTGAGCAGAGGCAGCCTGTCACATTTTACCCACCTGGAATACATTTGTCAAGCTTCAAGCTAGATAAGGGGAGGAGAAGAAAAGAGAGAAAATGTAGAATGAGGGTGAATAAAAGGGAAAAGAGGAAGAGGGGCCAGGAAAGAAAAGAAAGCTTTCACTGTTACAGAAAAATAGCATGGTGGTACTGGTTGCAAGAAGTTTACAAGTCACTTCCCTGCTGGATCCTTCTATCTCAGCATATAGCCTCACCCCATTGGCTAAAAGGTCATCTTTTTGAGATGGCTCAGAAAGTAATTCCAAAAACTTTCTTGGTCTCTTCTATTATTTAATAGTGATGAATACTAAGACATTCTTCCCTTTTAAGTTGTTTGGCTGTGTCTACGTTTAAGATATTCCTTCTCTTTGGAATGATCTTCCCCATGTCTTCACATCATGGAAGTTGTGCATTCTTTAGGAAGTAGTCTGACCATTACCTCTCTGAGGTAATTTCCCTGGATCCGCTTCCCCACACTGGGTTAGGGGCCCTTTCTCAGTGCTCTTGTTACTACCGCAGCTAGTTTACATGAAAGTCTAGTGTTCTGGATTCAGACTCCACAGGTCCCCTTGGCCAGGAGCCCTTGAGTATGGTACAACTTGCTTAGGGTATACCTGTACGCATTTGGTACTTGGTACGTGCTTATTGAATGAATTATATTTAGAATTTTTCAAGAACCAAATCACAATCTAATCCCTTTTGAATGGGTTGCATCCAAAACTGAACAAACCAGTCTGTACAGACAAGGGTCCTATTTGGTAGGCTTGGAATATTAATTAAGCAGCTATAAGCTTCTGGAACCACTTTTAACTCTTGTTTGTTCCTCAACGCCATTGATGATCAACTTAAACTGTGGTCTGATCCTGTACGTGTTGCTCAAGCTCCACCTTCATCATCATCTCCATTTATGCAATTTGTTTCCCTACTAGTGTGGGAAAAGTTCTCTACTCAGATTTCCGGCTCCATTGCTGATTTACCAGGGACCTTTGCCCTCTAGTCCTTTCTTCCATGGTGTTAGTGTCATTGGTAGAGATCGTGAGCCAGTCTCTGGGCCTCAGTCTGGGTCACTAATTAATCATTATATTCTAAGGAAGCACTGAGCCTCCACAGTGCTGTATGTCATAGTTTTATTTTGCCTTGTTAATTCTTAAACCAGGGTCACGTTACCCCAGCAGGCAGTGGGGCAGCTGCTTGGGGCTGCTGTTACCTGTGCAGTTTACCGCAAGATGCATGGCCTTGGGACCAGCCTCCCAGGGTGTTAATTCTGATTCTTGGAGGCAGCTTCTCTGAAAGTTTCCTTCTGTACTGGAACAGGCCTCTAAGTACACAGAGAGAGAGAGAGAGAGAGAGAGAGAGAGAGAGAGAGAGAGAGGAGAGCGTTCGTCCCACCCAAACCATTTGTAAAGTCAACTTGCCTTATTTATTTATTACTTTTGTTATACTGGTCTTACCCTGGGTTTCAGCCAGCCTGATAGAGGAAGTTGGATGCATCCCCAGCCATCTGATGTCATGGTTTGGGGTACTCTGCAATGGTGGGAGGTTTCAGTTAATCCTAGCAATTGGTGAGTTTGCTGTTCTTCTCTGAGAAACTTCTCTGTTCCATGCCATGTCATTTACATAAGTTGATAGGGCTCCTTTTGTGACTTGTCCTTTCCTTTCAGTGATGTAAGATCCCCACACGTTGGCAGCCACTATGTTTTGTTACTGAAGTGCTGGTGCTGATGGGATCTTGCTTCCTGTTTAGTTTCTCTGGGAGATGAGGGTTGAAGGGGATGTGGTGCCCATCAGGGCAAGGAGGGGTCTATAGTCTGAAGGATGGACAGCATTTTGGTTAAGTTTAGGCCTCAATATCCATTAGCCAAATTCGCATAATTGCTTTTGCCATTATTTTCCATAACTTGCTCAAGTGAATTCCTACTTTGTGGAAGGGAAGCTGGTTTCTTCTAAGAACAGAAGTCTTTGTGCCCCAAATTGCTCCTGTCTCATTGGGTTAGAATAGTATGGGAAGAGGTGATAATGAACAGAGAAAGTGACAGTATTCTCTCCCATTTATCCAACCCCAGAGCTGGATTTTGGAGCTGTTTGGCCCTTTTTTATTTCTGCTTTTCTTTACTGGAAGAAACAGTCTTACTTATATAAATAATATATGAAGACATAGGTGTGTTCTGTAGAGTAAAATTTGGCTTCAATCTCTATGTAACACTATCTGTAGAGGCATGTTAAGTTTTCTTCTGAGATTTTTTTATATGAATTCATTCATGTCACCATATTAAAAAACATACACATAGGCAGCTTTGATTGTTTCTTAATATGTTCTCATGTATACATGAGATATAATAAGTTCTTGCTTTTTTCCTTTGAGTTAAATGTATTAGTCTCTATATGTCTGTACATCTAAATCAACTTACAGTTTTAGGCATTGCATCATATCACATAATGTGGGAGTAGAATCATTTAGCTATTATTCATCTACTGGTAGGCATTGAGAATTTCCCCCTCACCTCATGTAAGACTGCCATAACAGTGTTTTGTTGATATTTTAGGTATATTTGTCAGTATTCCTATACAGACAATCTCTGTAATTAAAACTTCTATGTATTTAAAATCTTTAAGATAGTGTCTTAAAAATAAAGTACACACAATTCAAACTTCCAAATCTCAAATTTTACATTTCCACTAATGACGTATGCAGTGTTTATTTCTCCACATGTTCTCCAGCTTCGGATATTCTTGGTAAGGTTTTTAAGTTTCTTCATCCACTGGGAAAAACAAATGTCATTGTTGCTTGTCCTACTTTTCTACCTGAAAATGTTCCAAAGAAGCAAACAGAGCCTCCTGTTATTCACTAATAAGTTGAATTACCAGGAACTATTGTGTGCTTTATTATGGGCATCAATAAGGTTTTGGAAGAGGCAATGTGCTTGAGTTGTGAAATTTCATCAAAAATACTATCAGAGATTCCTACATCGAAAATAATTTTCACATATGTCCAATGATATTATTTCCATACTCAAGTCACAGTTGATTTGTTTCCATTTGATTATTTTCATATTTTGGTGATAATCATATATCCAATACACATTGAGATTTGGGACATGTGTTTGTAATCCCCCCATCCTAGGGCAGAACATGTTTGACTTTTTTTGTCTTCTTTAAACATTGCTTCATAGAGTTTTGGCATGCTGGGTTTTAATTCATTAAGAAATGTATGCTTCCTCTTTAAAGAACAAGTGATGATCAATAGACTCTCACTATGATTACTTATTTCTTCTTTGCATTCATATCTGGATTCCTCCTTGAGCATTAACTTCCATTATAAGAATCTGTTGACAGAAGACAGAAGTAGATCAGTTGGCTCTAAGACAACCCAATAGACTGGATTTTTGTGTGTTTGTTTTCTTTTGCAAATGTTGAATTGAAAGTTGTTGTGTTTCTGTTTCACATGAGATTATACCATTAATGTGAAGTGACTGCCATCTTTGAGCTAGTGACCATACCAAAGTAAAGTGTGATGGAATATTCTAAAAGATACAAATCAGGTGGTGCCTTAAGTAACTCCATGTTTCCTTTCCCCAGCATGCATTTGCTCTTTCTCTCACTCATGCCATTATGAATGAACCCTATTCACCTTTTCAGCTCACAACCAAACTTAGTAGTAGAGTCAACTTTATTTTTTAAATATTTTATTTATTATTTTTATTTTTATGTGTATGAGTGTATTGTCTGCATGCATGTGAGTGTACCTGTGTCGTGCAATGTCCAAAGTGATCAGAAGAGGGCATCAGATCCCCTGGAACTGTAGTTACTGATGTTTGTTATCCACCATGTGAGTGCTGGGAATCGAACCTGGGTCCTCTGCAGGGGCAGCCAGTGCTCTCTACTGCTGAGCCATCTCTCCAGCCCCAGTATTCAACCTTCTATAGAGAAAATAATCTGCCTCTGGTTTTGGAGACACTTGAGACATAACTAACCCAATTCTTGATATGAAGGAGTTTAGGTTCTAGGGGAATTAAGGCACAGAACATGACGTTATATTTAATTAATCATTGTTTCTGAAAGAGTCTATCCCACCTCAAATATTCTCTGATCACTTCACCATCTGTATTAGTTACTTTTCCTGTTGCTGTGATAAAATACCGTGACAAAAGCAACTTAAGGAAGGGGGGGTTTATTTTCGCACACAGTTCAAGGATATGGTATATTATGGCAGTGAAGTCAAGGAAGCATGGGTTTAAAGCAGATGGTTAAATACCATCTGCAACCAGAAGAGAACAATGAATAGTCATTCTCAGCTACTTTTCTCCTTTTTATGCAGTCCAGGACTCAATCCAAGGGAATGATGCTGCCCACATTTAGGGTGGATCTTCTCGCCTCATTTAATCTAATCAAGATAATCCTTCACAAGCTTGCCCAGAGACTAACCCAGTGAAAATAATCCCTCAGAGTTGTGCCCAGAGGTTTGTCTCCTAGGTGATTCCAGACTCCATCAACTTGACAATCAACACTAAACCATCACACCATCCAGTTCCCCGATAATGTTGTTGATTTAAGCTTGGACTGAGTACTAATGTATCCTTCTAAAACATGGACAAGGCCAGTCCCCAAACTGGCTTCTGTGTTGTTTGTGGCATTTCTCATCTATCCCTTAGTAGCAGGACTTGTATTGTCCATTTCTTCTATAACTCCACTGCCAACTTCCAGCGTTGATGTGTAGTCTGAAGCCTTCTGGTACCAAGAAGGCTTACTTATCTTTGGTCTAATTTTCTGTTCTTGTTCTCATTTTCAGTTGTATACAGAGATTCTCCCACTCTTTCCTGACCTTCCTGTCAGGTAAGTAAGACTAGATCTATGTGATAATATTGTCAAGATGATTGATGATTGTAATTGATTAGGTCTTTTTCTTCATATTCCTCTGACTCATTCATTCCAAATTCCTATGCACATCATAACTATATTTGTTCCTGTTTGCTTGATTTGTAACTCTTTACCCCCACTTGGAACTCTATTTGCATTAGACATTTTCTTCTTTTTATAGAAAGACCCTCGTTGACCCTTTAATTTTAGTAACCCAGTTGCTTTATAATAGACTTTCAGGAAAGGGTGCTGATTTTGGCATGGGAACAAATTTTGAAATTATTTGTGCAATGAAAGTTGAAGAGGGAGACTGATTATTTACATAGAATTATTGGAATATCGTCTCACTGTTTTCCCTTTTCTTGCTCCCTGGACTTGATTTCCTAGCTTCAACAACTCTTGTCATGTTTTGAAACAGACACTGATGTGCTTTCCCAATCATTTAAAGCATTTTACTCATGCAACTTTCAAAATGCCTCCCAACCAGATTTCTGCTTAGCTCCCTTCTAGATAGAAATTCTAAAGCCATTGTTGACTTTCATACTTCTGCTTTCCTTTTCTTTATTTACCTTCTTTCTTTTTTTCACTTCTATTCCTTCTTTCCTTTCCTGTGTTTCCTTGCTTCTTTCCTTTTCCTTTTCCTTTCCCCTTTCTTTTGTGCAGTACTAGGAATCAAGCCCCAGGGTCGGGGCAAGTCCTCTGCTAACAACCCTGGCATCATTACTTCCTCTTTCTTTTAAGACTCAAATCGTAGTTATTTCTAACATTTCATTGATATAAATTATCAAAATTTTATAGACTATATAAATATTTTTATAGTAAATGTAAATGAAGATAGTCCTATGATTATTTATAGGTTAAATAACATATATATTTACAATAGGTACTAGTAAGTTATTGTTACAATTAAGATTTCCTGAATAGAGTCACACAACTAGTAAATACCTAAACTGTGACTTAAAGCAGGAGTTGGCATCGTGTGATAATAAAAGCAAGGAGGGCCCAGAATATTGATGGGAGAGCTGCGGGGTTGGCTTTTCCAAGTATCTGCCTTCCTCTCCAGTATGATCTCCCAAAGGACTAAGCCTTGTGCTCTATGTAACTACTGCCTCCAGCTCCAGGGCTGGTCAACACCTGGAGGATGGTTTTGATGAGAGTCTCTACCCTAGTTTCATTTCTGTTGCTGTGATAAAATACCTTGACAAAAGTAATTTAAGGAAGAAAGGGTTTATTTTAGCTCACAATTTTAGGTCACAGTCCATCATAGTTGCAGGAGCTACAGACAGCTGGTCACAGTACAACCGTAGTGAAGCAGAGAGAAACTAATGTATGCATGCTATTGCTCAGCTTGCCTTCTCTACTTCTGTACAGTTCAGGATTCCTTGCCTACGGAATGATGTCACCCATGGTGGGTGTGTCTTAGCTCAATTACCATAATCAAGATAATCCTCCACAGACAAGCTTACAGGCCAACTTGAGACTTTCTTTCCAAGGGATTCTAGATTGTGTTAAGTTGACAGTTAAAACTAGCCATCACCGTTTCCTCCCATTTCTCTCCTCTACATATTCATAGAATTATTTTGTAGCAGATTTTATATCAAATCCATTTAAAAATCTTTTATGAGTGTCTGCTGTAGGGATGAGGGTGAGGTAGTGTCCAAGCCTCAACAGGGAGCATATTGTGTTCTGGTGCCTTGTTTTTTTTTTTTTTTACTTTGTTTAAGTCAACTTGAATCTCATCAACGAAGAAGAGAAACTGTCTTTTCAGTTTCTCAGGTTTGAAAAACATCATTTATTTATTTGGCCATACCAGTAGCCATTGAATCTAAGTAGTGGCTGTAAACTCTTAAAGGCAAGAAAGATATGTCTTGTTTATTGGAGACTCTCAAGGCCCTAGCATAATACCTTGCATATAAGAGAACTTCAGCAAGAATTTGTAAGCTAGATGAATGGATGCAAGAAATTCATCCATGATATGTTCATGCTCAGCATTAGAGCACAATATAAAGTTGCCTATAAACTATACGCTATAAACTATATACACTACATATATACACTATCCACTACAAACTATACTTATAATCACAACTAATACTTTTGATTATGTGAAGATACTCATTATATTTCCACATGTGCTCCCTATAGAACCCTGTGAAGTCAACCTTACTATCACCTCCATTTCTTTAGCCTTAAGATTAGGAGACATTAAAGAATAGCCCAAAGTTACATTTATAAGAAGTAGAACTTGGATGCAAAGGAAGGCAGATGGTTCCACCACACATTCTCTTTTAACCCCATGTTTGTTTGTTTGTGTGTATTGAATATAAATATTCTGAGCATTGGGCGGGGGAACCTTGAAGGACAAGGGGAGAGAGATGAAGTTGGCTTTCACCTTTCCCCCAGAAATTCACATGGGCAATCTATAGTATGATAGGAAATTTTGGAGATCTACAAGGGAGCTGAAGAATAATACTCTTCCAAGCTTTTATGAGAATGTTTACTGTGTATAATTTACTTCCAATATTTCAGTCTGATATTGATTCACTTGGGTTTTTTCCCAAACAATGCTTGCTTTTTTAGGCATTAGAAAGCTCTTAAGACTTATTAAGAAAATATTTTTGCCCTGTGTAGACTAAACAAATCATTTTCCTTCCATTTGCTCCTAGAGATGTGAAAACTTCATACATGCACTTACGCTGTATATTTCAGCTTTGACTTTATTTTCTACTATGGCAAATATTACACAATGCGGTCATCCTAGAGTTCATGTTCTGCACCAGTTACCAGTTAACCCAGTTTCTGTCATGTGTAGGCTGTGGATTTTTTTTCCTTTTGGCATATGGAATGTTGTTTTTCTTACCACAGCAACTCTGGCTTTAGTTCCTGGTGACATTATCTTCAAAAAATTTTGTTGCCAAAATTCCTTTTGTCCTATATTTACTCAGATTACTTCAATTTACAAGCTTTGAAAATGTTACTACACATTTCTGTGAGCATTCCAGAGAATTCTGTCAAGGGCTATTAAGTGCATGTGATGTGCACATGTGGTAAAAAAAAATGTGACTTTCCCCTTGTAAAAATTAGAGTGTTCTTTTTTCCCCCTCTTCTTTGAATTTTTGAGAAACTGAAATTCTTGATCCTTAAATATTTAGTGAAATCTTCTGGGCCTAGAATTTTCTTGGTGGGAATTTTTTTTTTAAATTTTAACAGTTATACATCTTATTCAGGTTGACTAGCTCTTATTGATCCCTTCTTGCTATTTCCACCTTCCAAGGATTTTCCCATTTCTGTCTAAATTTTCAAAATTGCTAAAGTTTTCCCTAAGACCCTTTCATATTGTTATGTTCACATTGGCATGATGTTGCTATTTTCATTTGTTTGTTCTCTTCATTAGTTGTTCCTCTTCCCTTTCCTTCCTCTCTGTCTCTTAATTTTACCAGAAATGTCTTTTCAGAGAGCAGCATTTGTTGTATTAAAATTATTTTCTTTATGCCTTTTTCTATGT